GCCGATCAAATGACTATAAAAGTTGACTGTCCTCAGCAGCAAACGAACACAATCGACCATTTTGTAGAACTAAAACAGACTTTGTTACTGTACCTATGTGAAGCGAATAGTAAATTAAATTGCGAGGACTGACATTGAAATATGGCAGAATTTTTCCCATCAGATTCGAACGGACTTTATTTACAGGTTTCTTGTTTAGATATATATACCTTCGAGGTTGCACAAAAAATATTGCGTGTATCAATATGTGTAATAAATGGCGGGTGACTTTGTAAGCTCATTATTAACATTAGTTTCTCTTTCGAAGTAAATAAAAATAGTAAATACAACTCAAAAGAATTCCAAGTCAAATTGAATAAGTATTATAGAATGCAATACTATTGATCCGAACATCGCCGTTGAAGTCTCGCGAGTGATGGAATATGTCTTGAGTATGTCGATTTTAAGCGGGTTTCGTATCAACTGCAGCTGCATTTTCTCAAACTGTTTATATAAAAAAATTAAATTGTGGTTTAAATTTCGATTGTGACTTAGAGCATCTTACAGATTCTTCCAGACGAATGTCCAAACGAGAGGCAAAGACGGTTCGCTCCCCCAATAGACGTTTTAGCTTTTTGTGGTCGTCAAGTAGATTAAGAGTAATAAATAGATTGAGAAAGGCATCAAAGTAAAAAAAAAAACACCAAATGCAGGCCATGATCATTGTCGGCAGGGACATATCCAGATTATCATATCCAGTTTTAAAGATACTGTACGAAAGGTAAACGGTAGCTATAGAGAATATATAGTATCCCCCATAAACCATTAGTCCTTGAATGCCGAGGGCCTCACCCAACTGGGTCACCATTGAGATCAGCTCACTTTGAAGCTGAGCTATGTCGTCCAACTGATCGGCCAGATCGCAACATCTGGTCATGAAAGCACCCCTTCGCTGGGGATGGTTACTCAACTTTTTGCACTCCTCGATCACCTGTCGCAGCTCCGTATTAAGGAGATTATAATAAGCCCTAACGAAAAGGACTGCCAGATAATGTTCCGTTATGGCCAGATTAAGAATTGCTGACATCCAGAACTGTAGAAACATCCCCAAAGCTTGATCGGGCTTCCTTCGTTCCCATTCAATCCAGATGGATATCATTTGCAACAAGTCAGTGACAGATGTAATGATTATCTTGAACAGAACTCCCCAGCGGGACATCTGCATCACCTGCGGTCTTTGCAGAAGCAGATGAAGAACTGTTCTGGCGAACTGCATCATCAGGGTTCTCTGGGGCCATCTGATGAGAACTGTAGAGAGCCCTGAAACAAAACAGATGTACTACTTAATTTCTTTAGAATCTCTGGATTTCCAAATTCAAAACATTGTCAAGATACGCATAATCCAACCTGCTAATATCCTCAGTCCGAAAACAATGACGAGAACATATTTTAGCAACATATTTGACTTGCCGAAAAACGTCCATACATTAAGTTGCTTTAATGACATTATAATCAAGATAATTAATATTATGGCGTGAATGCCACTGGCATAGAATGTGCTTCTTGTGGATGTGAAAACGCGACCTTTCCGCCAGTCGAACTCGAAGTTCCTAATTCCGATTAGGTGTCCATATAAGTAGACAACCTTTAATAACCAACCGATCCATTCGACCATTTTGGCTAACTAAAAAGCCTTGTTGAATGTGTAATGTCAGCTCCGTTGTGGGTAATTAATTTGGCTCAATCGAATGTATTTACCTAATGTATTGATTGCAGGCATAGATCTACCGATAAGATTAAATTTCGAATTGTACGTAATCAGAATGCAAATCAATAAGGTGGAGGACAATAAAACAGAGAGGCAGAAAATAATAAACAAACTATTTATATACTTCACTAGAAAACAAGCCTAATTACAAAATTTAATTACTTGATTAGCAGTTATATGCTAATTTCAATGTGAAACCAAAAATAAATTGGCAAGCCAAAGCTTTTATACCCTGGTAGTCATTAAATATGTCGAACAAAATACATATCAATTTTCCATATTGTCTAAGAAGAGCACAAAAATGTGAAATTGCATTATGGCCATGTTGTTAATGGCCAAAGACCAGAAATACACATATCAATTCATAATTAGATTTCTTCTCACACCACCGAATACAATCACGGCTAGCATGAGATGGGAGAGAACAGCAGCAAAGCCGACGAAGATCTTTGAAATAAGCCAGAAGCGGGATAACTCTGTCACCGGGGGTCTGCCATTGTAAGCCGAATGATTTGACTAGTAAGTTGCATCAGTTTATGGCGAAGATGTATTTGCCATTACGTTTATTGATAAAAAGAATACATATATCTTAGATAATTATTAAGGCTTGCTTTTGTAATATATCTCGCTTCCTTAATCTCAACCGCTATCCAGCCAGTCGATGCCATCACTCCATTCTTCCATCGACGTTCCCAGGCTTTTTGTGGTCGCTGCAACCATATGAGGCATAAAATGCATGTGCGCGATGACAAATAAATCGTACAGGCTTTAATTATTTAATGCATCTAATTCCTGAATATCTGCAAATAAAATGAGGCTTTTTAGAATTTAAGTTTCATATAGTTAAGGATGTTGGAAATCGTTATTGCCGATTTCAAGATATCTCGGTTGGGAGCTGGCTTGGGATGAGTTTGGTTGAAAGCATCCCACAGATTCCTTTAAACACATATCCCATATGGCATAACCCCAGTTCAATCTCAAAGAAGCGTTCGTTGTCCTCTATAGATTAAAAACTTTAGTAATCATTTATGAAATTTAACGCTTAAAAAGTTCGCTTTATTATACCCTTGCAGAGCAAAAGGGTATAATAATTTCAGTCAGAACTTTGCAACGCAGTGAAGGAGACAACTCACACCCCAATAAGTATATATGTTCTTGATCAGCATCACCATCTGAATCGAAATACGTCTGTACGTCTGTCCGTCTGTCCTCCTGTCCGTTTCTGCCCAAACTAGTCTCTCAGTTTTAAAGCTATCTTGCTGAAACTTTTCCAAAAGGTGTGTAGTTATTGCACGCAGTATATAAGTCGGAACGGGCCGGATCGGGCGACTATATAGGATAGCTCCCATACAAGAGATTGAAATACAAAATTCTAACGCCGTTGTTTTTGATCAGATCGTCTTGATTTCTTCCACATGGCGTTTTCTAGTTACTATTGAACTTCGGGTTAAATTTCATAAAAATCGGACAACTATATCATATAGCTGCCATAGGAAAGATCGAAAAATCTATATAGAATTAACGGAAATAAAATGATAACATCGTTATTTCTCATCAGAAAATCATGATTTTGGAATATAGAGTTTTCTAACGACTCTTGAATAACGAATTGAACTTCATAAAAATAGTCGAAAGTATGAAAAATTAATAGAAATATCCTCGCAGCTTCGATGTTGTTTAGCCTTTATATATTTTGCTCGACATATTTAGTGACTGCAAGGGTATATAAGCTTCAGCTTGTTTTTGATCAAGTAAATAAGTTGTTACATTCACTTGTTGTCCATGTGTTCCAAATCATATTGAAAGAGGAGTGTTGAATGAATTATAGCAGAGCCAAACATGGCAAATGTGGAGCTTCAAACTTCAACTTTTAGTGGGTTTCGTACCAGCTGTAACTCGAAGCTCTCGAACCAAAACAAAAATTAAATATTAAATAATAGGAACAGATTAGATGTTGAGGCTTACAGATTGATCAAGGCGTTCATCCAATCGAGAAGCAAACAAGGTTCGTTTCCCCAACAGATTTTTCATCTCTTCGTGCTCATCAAGGAGAGAACAAGTAATACACATATTCATTGAGATATCCAAGAATAATAAAAGGTAGATGTATACGCCACAGCCGCAAATTTTTAAATCAATGTAAGAGTCCATTGATTATATTTGAGATCATAGGACATAAAATATATGCTAACTGCGGAGGTTATGTAGGATACGCATATGAGCACTGCATTCTGTATTCCTAGCAATTCAGTAAAGCGCGTGAAAACATACTGCAGCTGACTCTGGGTTCTAGCAATATCCTCCAACTGATCCGAAAGATCGCAGCATCTTGTCATAACAATACCCCTTCTCTGGGGAAGGTAACTCAGGGTCTCACATTCCAGAATAATTTGTCGCAGTTTTTTTGTTTAAACGCTGATATTGTACCTTTATAAAGAGCATTAGCAGATGATAGTGCATCATGGCCATATTGATAAAGGCCAACGACCAGAAGTATAAAATAGTACACATAGTTATATGTAAATTCATAGTTAGATCGCTGTTTAGGGCAGGTATTACAATCAGGGCCAGTAAGAATCGCGAAAAGTCAGTAGCAAAGCTTGTTAAGATCTTTGAAATAAGCAAGAAGCGGGATAACCTGTTTACTTTCGGATGAGCGAGATGAAGTCGAAGAAGATTTCTAACGAGCTGCATCAGTTCCTTGCGCTGGCCCCATCTATTAAGCATCGTAAAGAAACCTGAAACTTGATTAATTTAAGTCTGCTTTAGATCTGTTTTTAATACCTGCAATTATCCTTAAAAGTGTCAAAGTGATGAAGACAAACGTGTCTAGTAGTTTTCCCCACTTAAACAATTAAAATCGAATTGAGTTAAACAGTAGGCAAAACTAGAAATAATCGAGACGTTGATCGTGATGGCATAGAGAGTGCTAATCCATGTTGAAAAGGCACGACCTGTTCTGCTGTCGAACACAAAGTTGTTTAAGCCGATCAAATGACTATAAAAGACTTTGTTACTGTACCTAAGTGAAGCGAATAGTAAATTAAATTGCGATGACTGACATTGAAATATGGCAGAATTTTTCCCATCAGATTCGAAAGGACTTTATTTACTGGTTTCTTGATTATATATATACCTTCGAGGTTGCACAAAAAATATTGTGTGTATCAATATGTATAAATGTCTGATGACTATTTAAAATCGTTAATAAGATTAGTTTCTCCTTCGAAGCAAATAAAAAAGTAAATACAACTTAAAAGAATTCCAAGTCAAATTGAATAAGTATTATAGAATGCATTATTACTGATCCCAACATGGCCATTGAAGACTCGCGAGTGATGGAAAATGTTTTGAGTATGTCGGTTTTCAGCGGGTTTTGTATCAACTGCAGCTGCATTCTGTCAAACTGTTTTTAAAAATAGTAATATATTGAGTTAATTTTAAGTTTGTGACTTAAAGAATCTTACAGATTCCTCCAGACGAATATCCAAACGAGAGGCAAAGAGGGTTCGCTCTTCCAATAGACGTTTTATATCCTTGTGGTCGTCAAGCAGATTAAGGGTGATAAACAGATTGAGCAAGGCATCAAGGTAGTAAAAGGAGCACCAAATGAAGGTCAAAATCATTGATGTCACGGTCATATCCAAATTATCATATCCAGTTTTAAAGATACTGTACGAAAGGTAAACAGTGGCTATCGAGAATATATAGTATCCCCCATAAACCATTAGCCCCTGAATGCCGAGGGCCTCACCCAACTGGGTCACCATTGAGATCAGCTCACTTTGAAGCTGAGCTATGTCGTCCAACTGATCGGCCAGATCGCAACATCTGGTCATGAAAGCACCCCTTCGCTGGGGATGGTTACTCAACTTCTGGCACTCTTCCATCACCTGTCGCAGCTCCGTGTTAAGGAGATTATAATAAGCCCTAACGAAAAGGATTGCCAGATAGTGTTCCGCTATAGCCAAATTCACAATTGCTGACATCCAGTACTGTAGAAATATCCCCAGGGTTTGATCGGATCTCCTACGATCCCATGCGATCCAGATGGAAATCACTTGCAACAAGTCAGTGACGGATGTAATGATTATCTTGAACAGAACTCCCCAGCGGGACATCTGCATCACCTGCGGTCTTTGCAGAAACAGACGAAGAACTGTTCTGGCGAACTGCATCATCAGGGTTCTCTGGGGCCATCTGATGAGAACTGTAGAGAGCCCTGAAACAAAATAGATGTACTACTACTACTTCTTGAGTCTCTGGATTTCAGGATTCAAAACGACATAAGCAAATAATCCAACCTGCTAATATCCTCAATCCGAAAACAAGGGTGAGGACATATTTTAGCAACATATTTGACTTGCCGAAGATCATCCATATATTAAGATGCCTAAATGTCATCATAGCTAAGCTAATTAATATTATGGCGTGGATGCCGCTGGCATAGAACGTGCTTCTTATGGATTTGTAGACACGTCCTGTCCGCCAGTCGAACTCGAAGTTCCTAACCCCGATTAGGTGTCCATACAAATAGACAACCTTCAATAACCAACCGATCCACTCGACCATTTTGGCAAACTAAAATGGCTTCTTGAGTTGGCTCCGCTATGGGTAGTTAATTTTCCCCAATTGAATGTACCTAATGTATTGATTGCAGACACATATCGACTGATAAGATTCAATTACGAATTGTGCGTAATCAGAATGGAAATAAAAAAACTATTTTTATACTTCACAAGAAAACAAGCCTAATTACATAATTAATTACTATATACAAAGCTTCTAATTTTAACT